GCTCTTTCATTGATCACACCAGTGGCACGCGTTGGGCACCTTAGTGCGTGTAGAACAATTACTCAGTGAACTGTTCCACTTTGTACCTCTAATAGTTCAGAAAGTGAGTCACGCAGGGGCGATGGGAGTTCAAAGTAATTTTTTTGCGACTGACGGACTTACTTGGACTTCAAACTCCAAATAAAATAGCCTAAGATATTTAAACCTTAAAGAAAACGTAGATGTATTTAGTTTTTAATTTATTTCAACGTGTTATTACTGCAGATATATGAGCAATGCGAATTACTTCTCTTATGCAGAATTACGTACTCTTAATAAAAGCCGAAGGAACAAACGCGGAAAAATTAAATGAATTCCACATAGACAGTCCAATTTTAAAAAATTAATGTAGTATACATATGTTATAAAACCAAATACGCTTTAACTGAGAATATGAGCTAGCATATGATCCGCAAAGAGAGTCAATCACTCCAGGGCCTATACTTTAAAAAAAAATTAAGAGATCGTAAGTTCATCCACCAATCATTGACGGTCTTTCAAGCCAGATCCACCAATCATAGACAATAAAATAGAGCGTATAAGTACTTAACGTTCACTTAGCGAGTTTTGAAAGTATGAGCCCAGGTCTCCAAAATCAAAGAGGGAATAGGAAAACTTTCAAAATGCAAATTATATTTATTCACAATTATGAATTCAGAGAGCTTTTGTATAGAGTTTACAGCGTTAATTCGAGTTTTAATTCTTTGTTTTGTACTTTATTTTCGTATGACGAAAACATATCCGCAGTTTAGACATTCTGATTCGAGAATAAACTTTTCCGTAGATTGAGTTACCATTAATCAGAAAGATTTTAAAAATAAATTTCATAATTCGTGCACAAATACACTGTATTTGCACTGTTTTAGCAGAGTGATGAAAATAAATACTCTTCGAATCTCAAAATATATTTCATTATCATGATTCGCCAGCGTCAGTCATAAATCTTCGTAGTCATTTTTAACTGTAACAATTTTCAAATCATAATAATTCCATGCAAATAAAAGATGCAACTGTCATTTTAATTGGCATGTATCAAACTTGAAATTGTATGCTAAAACAATATTTAATTGGAATGCAATCAGAAGAAAATTGAGTTTTGCCCGCATGATAATTGAACGCTTCAGTTCCGGGGATAAAAGATCAGTCAGCGAACACACGAACTTTAATTCCCGGCCCATGTCAGGCTCTCTACACCACCTGAGTTACTGAACTTTGTCAAATGATAAAAGATAATTAGGAATACATCATAATCACCATTTTAATGATATATATTATATAATAATAATAACTAATAATAATAATGAAATAATAATAATAACCAACAATTAATTTCAGTTTGTGTAACACGAAATTTTGTCGGATCAAAACATTTCTGCGTCAAATAAATTCATGCATAATTTTTTTCGTTATTGATGTGGAAAATTCTATTTCAATTCTTCTTTGGACAGCATAATATATAACAATGCATTATTTTTCCATTAATTCACCAAAGGAAAGAAAATGTTCACTTCAGTTCAAATCACTTATACTATATATAGCGGCTTCAGCATGTTAGTACGCCGTAGGCCTGTCGACGATCCTTAACAGCACAGAATATTCACAGCATTTTGCGGTCTCGAACTCGCAACTCACTGCTACAATTTCGCTGTGCTTAACCGCCCGGCCTCCTCGCCGATTCTGACCAGAAACCGGCGCACAGAGCGCGCCTCTCTGCTCCAATCCATGGTACTCTGAACTTTAACCACTGGGCCACTCTACTACTTCTGCTCGACTGGCTTCCAGGATCGAAAATATTTTTTAGAATTCGATTAGAACATCACATGTCCTGAAAGAATATTATGGGAAAATTTTAATGAAACTAACTTAAAATGTATGGTGTAAGTTTGTAAAACAGTTATATAAAGGATCGAAGCATTGCTCAGCTTCAGCAAATTGCACCGTATGGATGTTATTGCGATGCTTGAACAGCAGAGCGAATGAGAATTTGTTTGTTTTCGGTACATCATCCTATTTTAGTTCTTCACATATTTTGTTTACTCTCTAATTTCGAGGAGAGCCGCAAATTGAACCCGTCTCGTCACTAGGATAATCGAGCGGCAAAATCGAGTTCACACAATTAGAATATAAAATCAAACGATACATATAGATTTCAACGAAAATTTTTCTAATTATTTCATGACAATATAAATTATACAGTTTGGGAGGCAAATGTGGCGAGACTGAACAGGAATGTCAGAAGAATGAATGACTGGGTGTGTAGATATGAGGGGTGTGGGAAGGTCTGCCGAAGTAAGGCGGGCCTGATCAACCACCAGAAGCGCATGCATAGAGTAGCTGAGGAGCGAGTGAGGTTTGTATGTAGCATATGTGGCATGAGTGTGGAAACGGAGGGTGTGAGAGTGAACCATGAGAGGACGTGTACGGGTGGAGCGAGTGGAGTGGGAGACAGGAGACAGTGCGGGAGGTGCAATACGTGGATCACGAAGGGGAACTACGCGAGGCATGTGAGGGGATGTGTAGGGG